GTCCTGCGGCCTACCCTTCCTGCTGGGTCACTTAGCCACCAGGCAGGGCCTGCATGCATGCACCCCTGCACAGCACCTGCCCCAGTGGACAGAATACGCCATCACCCCCTCACTTGAGGGCCGCCCCGCTGAGTGCCCGCTGGGCATTAATTGGAGTGGAGCTGGGGTCTGGGAGTTCCTCCACAGCGACCAGGACAGGAGGCGGCCCCTGCAGAGCATCCTTCGGCCGCCTGTGGGCTCAAACCCCTGGCTGACCCCCAGTGGTCTAGGACGGGGCTGCTGAGACTGCAGCCTCCCTGGGACAGACCGCCTCTCACCTTTCCCCCACAGAGCAGCAGGGGGTGTGAGCCACTGACCTTGCAGCCAGCAGCCAGATGCTTTCCGCTCGGCCCCCAGGGCTCTCTGTCCGAACAGCCCACTGCCATCAAATCGGCGCCAACTCTCGCGGAGCTGAGCTGCCTCTGGGTTTCACCTGCTGACCGGGGATCTCTCTGCTTGTCTGGCTGTAGGCGGGCAGACAGGGAGGACTCTGGGGGGCTCTGGGTGCCGTGTGCTGGCTGTGTGTGGCCCACCTATGCCTAGGTGAGATATCTCAGCACCAGGGCCTAGTGTGGCCTTCTCACGTGAGAGGGCGGCGTGGGGCGCAGTCCACGGGCCAGTTGTCTACACGGACATTCTCCCCACCCTCAGCAGGTGGCCAGTGGCTCTGGGGTCACAGAGGTGGCCCGTTTCCCCACTGCTGGCCAGGGACGAGGGGCCGGGCCGTGTGGGCCTGAGGGCTGGGACCCGGGGTCGCAGGGGACGGCCTTGGTGGGTCGAGTGGGAGTCTGCCCCGGTACCGTTGGCAGGCATCCCTGTGAGCTGGGCCAAGGCCATGTGGAGGGGGTTGTGGTTGGTTGGTGTGAAGGGCTGATGCTCAAGGTCTCTGGCAATCGGTGGAGACAGTCTTGGTGACAGCAAGCCCCTCCCCTGCCCAAGCCAGTAGACAGCACCCCCCTTAGCTCACTGTATACCCTGTGGGTCCTGGGGGACCCGGGGCTCCTGCAGGCACGCTTAACTCTGCTGGGTGTTGGGGCCCCTTTGTCAGGAAATGCTCCCCAAATGCCCCCTCCCCTCAGTGCGACAGCAGCCCCTGTTTGGGTTGATGGCCTGTGCCCGGGTCTTCCCAGCCTTCAGAGGAGACACAGTCCAAGCGATGGGGTGGCTGTGGTCAGCCCCACGAGAGCCTGGGACTGGCATTGCAGGCACAGCCTGTAGGTGAGGGGAGGCATTTGGGTGTGATTCCCAGGCAGGCTGCTGAGGGGGTGTGGATGGGACTGCTGTCAGCCAGGTACACACAGGACTGGGTGCGGGGGGTGGGACACTCGGGGAGCAAAGGGCCTGGGGCAGGAGGAGGGGATGGGAGAGGAGATGCCCCCCACCCCGGCACCAACATCTCCTGATGGCTGTACCCTGTCCCCCAGCGCAGGGTCTCCACCCTCCACTTCTCTGCTATGTCTGTGTTGGGGAGAGCCGGGGCGCAGTGAGGTATGAGACCCCAGTGAGGGGCTGGTGGGCACAGCGCTGGGTAGGCCGCTACAGAGCTACGGGGTGTCTGCAGGGTTGCCAGCCAGCGGACAGCTCCCAAGGTGTGGCCAGCATGTCGCCCGGCTCCCTCGGGGGTCACTCCGGGATCCCAGGTTCCCACGGGCTGAGCTGTCAGCGGGCAGCCACAGCATCCTCTATCAGAATGGCTAGCGTGTCGCCTGGCTACCTCGGGGGTCACTCCGGGATCCCAGGTTCCCACCGGCCAGTTCCCACGGCTGAGCCGACAGCCCTTGCTATCGGCGTGGGAGGCTTTGTCTGCGAGAGAAAGATCGTGAGTTCCTGTTCCCACCAGCTCTTTGTTAAATGGCCCCCACCCTCAGGCCCCCCTCTACGGCTCGGTGCTCTGAATAGAGCCGCCCACGTGGCCAGCGTCTGCGCAGGCGTGACCTCGGCCCGGCCCTTGGTGACACAGCCGGGGCTTCCTGCAAGCAGCCAACTTCCTGGTCCCACCATTGTTGTCCGTGGGACCTGGAAAAAACAACAGTTATTTACTACGCGCCGGGTCAGCTTGTTGACGGCCGTGCTGGGAACAGCCAGGCCCGGGGGGTCCCAGTGTGGCTGTGGGCCTCTGCAGAGAGACTGTGGGAGCCCGCAGCAGGCGCCCACTGCCCCGTCCATGTCAGCTGTGACCCCGCCCCCCAGAACAGAGGGCTTGTCTTCCTGAGTGGGCTCAGACGGTGGGGGAGAGGGAGGCAGGGACGTGCCCCCTCCACAGTCGCCCCTGCCTGCCCACCCACCTGACTCACTACACTCTGCAGATGCTGCAACTATCACCAATGCACCCAGTGCTGGACCGTGCCCCTCAGTGCCACTCACCTGAGGCAGTCAGGGCAGCGGGCAACCCCAGCTCAGAGGGTGGGGCTGGGGTCCACTTGGTAGCCGAGCGTCTGTGACCTGACCTCTCTTGAGTGCTGCAGAACCTTAGGGCACTGTCGCACGTGTCTCCCCGTCGTCAGGCCTGCGGCTGCTGTTGACCAACTTTTGCCCGAGAGCCAGATGTGAGACCAGTCGGCCTCCGGGGCCCACAGCCCCCTGCCCAGTTTACCAGGGCCTCTCTGCTGCCCGGCGGGCCAGCTCCTCGATCCACAGTCCTGTCCACCACTCATGGTGCTAGCTTGTGGGGCTGTCGCTGACCACACCCTCTGTCCATGGTCCCTGTCCACAGCTCAGGCCAGCACGTCTGACTCTCTGCCCATAGGCTGGGCCAGTATGCTCTGGGCCTCTGTCCACTGCCTCCTGTCCCCAGACACTTGTCACATGCTGGCTCCATCCCTGGAGTGTGGCTTTGCTGACATCTGACCTGCTCTCGGAGCCAGCACTCCCCACGGCAGTCCCGTGCAGTGACCACCCAGGGCCTGTGTGTGTGGCCGGCGGGCAGAACCTGGTGGGAAGGAGCCTGTCCAGGCAGAAATGTGTTCTCCATGGAGGATATGGCTTGGGATTGGTGGCATGGGGCTGATGGGGGTCCCCTGGGGGAGAGGTAGGGGAGGCACCAGCAGCCAAGGCCTGCCTGGCAGGGCAGGGCAGGGGTCAAGGGTCAGGATCCCCCAGCCAACACCTGGTGCCAAGCCAGGGCTGGAGCAGAAAACGCTAGGAGGTTGGCCTGTGGGGGCTAGGCAGGGCCGTGCCCCCAAGCTGCTGCAGGCCTGGCTGTGATTTTGTCTCAGCAGCAGAGATCACCTGCTGTATCCCGCTAGCTGGGGTGGGAGCCAGGGGCCTGTGTCTCTGGAGATTCCGGTCTTGGCACCAGTGTAGCCAGGGCTCGGGAGCCCCCCAGCACTGGAGTTTGAAGGGGGAGATTGGGGAGGTGCACATGCCAACGTCAGCACCAGGGCTGGTCTTCGTTGGGGATGGCGGGGGTTCAAGATAGTGATGGGGCCTTACAGGTGTGTGCCCTATGGCATGTGTGCACGTGCGCGTAAGTGCGTTTCTGGCATGTAGCTTGTATGTCACACGTGTCTGTGTGCCCCAGGCCTCCCGGAGCAGTACTACAGCCTGACCTGGTTCCTGAGCCCCATCCTCGGCCTCATTTTCACACCCCTCATCGGCTCTGCCAGTGACCGCTGCACGCTGAGCTGGGGCCGCCGCCGGCCCTTCATCCTGGCCCTGTGCATCGGTGTCCTCTTCGGCGTGGCCCTCTTCCTCAATGGCTCGGCCATAGGTGAGTGCCGCCCATCCCCGGTCTCGGGACCTTGTGAGAATGCCAAGGGAACCTCCCCCAAGGACGCTTCCTGTTGTGCTCCGTCCGCCCCATACCTCTCTGACCCTGCGTCCTGTCTCCGGTATGTTTACCCTCTATGCTGCAGGTGGGAAAGTGCCCCTCTGCCAGGGAAACGGGGCAGCCTCAGAGAGGTGGAGGCCAGCCTGGCTCCCCAGTAGCAGTTTGGGAATTGCAGGGGGTTGGGCAGGGAGGCCTAGCCTGTGTGCTGCACCTCAGTGCAGTGGTCCTGGGGCTGGGCTGGCTGTAGACTTTCCCAGGGGAGAGTCCCTGACCACCTTGGGGACAGCACTGTACCCTGGGTGCAGGGCCCAGCGAGGCGGCCTGGGCTCTGCCACACAGCTTGTGTCCACACGTGCCCTCCTGACCTCCCTGAGCTGTGCCCCCCCCCCGGGGGTCACTGGGTCAGCAAGGCCACGCTCCATGCAGACATCCAGGGGTGGCCAGCATCCCTCATGGACCCTTGCTGACCAGTGTACTGTGGCCCTCGTCCCCTGGCTGCACCAGAGAACTGCCTCCTCCACCTTGTCCATGGAGACAAGGGGAGACTTTGTCAGGCTGTGGTCAGCGGTCCCTCTGCTGGCTGCTGTGCAGGGCTCGCTGGGATCAGACCCACAGCCCCTGCCCGCAGCACCCTGAGCCAGGCAGGTGAGCCAGGTACACAGGCACCTCAGTGCTGCCCTTCAGACCTGCTGGATGGCACATCTGTGGCCTGCAAAGCGTGTCAGGTAGCTGCGCCTCAGAGCCACGCCCCTGGCCTTGTCTGGGCACCTGGGTGTCCAGCTGACACGCCTCTGAGCAGCTGGCCCTCGAGCTAACTTCTGCTGAGAGGAACGGGCCTGACGGTGGCCTAAGCAAGGGCAGACCAGCTACAAGCCAGGCTGCAGGACCCTCAGGACCTGGCACTGCTCACTCAACAGGAGCACACAAGCCACGTTCTCTTGTGGGATGCCCCTGGGAGCAGAGGGCCAGCAGGTGCCAAGTCAGCGGGAAGATGTGTGGCCACAGCCATGCAGACCCCCCTCTAGCACAGACATCTTGAAGGAGGCAGGGGAGCAGCACAAGCCAGGCCCAGCGTCTCCCTGCGCTGGGCTGCAGAGGGTACCTCTGTCTCCCTGGGGCCTCACTTGCTCTCAAACACTGAGCCCGCCTTCCCTTTGCCCTGCCAGGTCTGGCCCTCGGTGACATCCCCAGCCGGCAGTCCATCGGCATCGTCCTCACGGTCCTGGGGGTGGTGGTCCTGGACTTCAGTGCAGACGCCACGGAAGGGCCCATCCGCGCCTACCTGCTGGATGTGGTGGACAGTGAGGAGCAGGACATGGCCCTCAACATCCACGCCTTCTCTGCTGGTGAGACCTGTCCCCTGCGCGGCACAGTGCTCGCCAAGGCCGTGAGGAGGGACATTGGAGCCATAGCATCCTGGGGCTGGAAGGTGACCCTGGTGTCCCCACCCACCACCGTAGAGCTGGGCGTGGCCCCCTGTGCACGTCCACCAGGAGGGTGGTGCTCTGCACGCGTGGGCACAATGTCGAGGGCAGAGGGATGTGCCAGTGGCCTCCTCCCACGCCTGCGCCCCGCCCCCACTCGTCCTCCTTTCTCCTGGCACCGCAGGCCTCGGGGGCGCCATCGGCTACGTGCTGGGCGGCCTAGACTGGACGCAGACCTTCCTGGGCGCCTGGTTCCGGACCCAGAACCAGGTGCTGTTCTTCTTCGCGGCCATTGTCTTCTCGGCCTCCGTGGGCCTGCACCTCTTCAGCATCGAGGAGGAGCAGTACAGCCCCCAGCAAGAGCACAGCCCCGAGGAGGCCAAGGCCCTGCCTCCCCGCGCCGGCCCGTCAGACAGCGGCCACCGCGGTGGCACCCTCTTCCCAGACGAGGTGCAGTCCGAGCACGAGCTGGCCCTGGACTACCTCGAAGTGGACATCGTGCGCAGCAAGAGCGACTCGGTGCTGCACGTGCCTGACGCCACCGTGGAGGTGGAGTCTGAGCTGCTCTTCCTGCAGGACATCGAGCCCTCCATCTTCCACGACGCCTCTGTCCCCAGCACGCCGCACAGCGCCGGCACCAGCCAGGAGCTCACCCAGGCCAGGCCGCCCCGCCCGGCCTCCTTGCTCAGGGACGGTCCCCGGGAGGACACCGTGCTGCTCGGCCCCCGCGCGGACGAGGCCAAGGTCCCCAACGGCAGCGGCTCTCCGCTGAGGGGTGGCTTCGGCAGCTACGCCCCTATCGACCTGAAGCCCTCGACGGCGCCCGGCTCCGTGCGGCGGCGGCGGCACGTGTTCCGCCGGCAGGCCTCCAGCACCTTCTCCTACTTCGGCAAGGTCGGCTCCCACCGCTACCGCTTCCGGCGGGCCAACGCCGTGGTGCTTATCAAGCCCTCCCGCAGCATGAACGACCTCTACGACCTGCAGCAGCGGCAGCGGCAGCGGGGCCGCCGCCGCCACCCGAGCGGGGCCACCACGTCCAGCGGGGACACGGAGAGCGAGGAGGGCGAGGGCGAGACCACCGTGCGGCTGCTCTGGCTGTCCATGCTGAAGATGCCAGCCGAGCTCACGCGCCTGTGCCTCTGCCACCTGCTCACCTGGTTCTCCGTCATCGCCGAGGCCGTCTTCTACACCGACTTCATGGGCCAGGTCATCTTCGAGGGCGACCCCAAGGTGAGCGCGGGCCTGGGGGCATGGACGCCGGCACAGCCGAGGCCCGAGGCCCCTCGAGTCTGCGGGACGGTTGTCATGGGGTCATTCGGGCTGCAGTAAGGTGTCGTTTCCGTTACCCTTGCAAGTGCTGGGCTCCCCCCAACCTGGGCGGCTTCCAGTACTGATTCCCCTCATTCATGGCTGGGCTCAGCAGGCGGTTCCCCCGTGTCCATTGTGGGTGCCGCATCCCTCCAGGTTTTGCCGGACAGGCCTTGAGTGGTCCTTGTCCTCCCTGGGTGGCATTAGTCACCCCGTCTAGACCTTGGTGGCTTCACAGGCTGGTTTGCCGCCATCGTGGCTGGGCTGAGTGGGACGGTTCCTCTGCTCATGAGGGTAGAGCCTGGCTCACACACAGGTGGTCAGGGAGGGGCCTTACCTGGGTCTTCGGGCCTCACCGCTCAGGGTCTGGTCTGAGCAGCTCCACAGGGTGCAGGGCTCCCAGATACAGGCTGAGGGGTCAACCCTAGAGTGTCCTGGGAGATTGCACCACCCCCCCTCCAGACCCCTTTGAAAGGATTTCAGCCCGGCACAGATGCAGGCTGGTGGAGGGGGTTCCTCAGCATAGCCCCTCCGGTGCCAGAGACTGCAGCATGTGCCCCCAGCCCCCCTGAGACCCCGTTTGTGTGTCTGGAGCAGGCGCCCTCGAACTCGACGTCCCTACAAGCCTACAACGATGGCGTGAAGATGGGCTGCTGGGGCCTGGTCATTTATGCTGCCACTGGGGCCATTTGCTCAGGTGAGCGCCCCAGTGTGGGGCAGCCGCGTGGAAGCTGGGGCTGGGGGAGGTGGGCCAGGGCAGTGCTCACCAGCTCCCCTGTGCTGTCCCTCAGCTCTGCTACAGAAGTACCTGGACAACTACGACCTGAGCATCAGAGTGATCTACGTGCTGGGGACGCTGGGCTTCTCCATGGGCACCGCCGTGATGGCCATGTTCGCCAACGTCTACGTGGCCATGGTCATGATCAGCACCATGGGCATCGTCTCCATGAGCATCTCCTACTGCCCCTACGCCCTGCTGGGCCAGTACCACGAGACCAAGCAGGTGTGTTGGTGGGCCAGGTGGGGAATAGCACAAAGATGGAGCAAATGTGCAGATGATGCAGGATGGAGTAGTACAGGAGGGAGCCAGGTGTGCAGGGTGGAATAGTATAGGAGGGAGCAGGTGTGCAGGGTGGAGTAGTACAGGAGGGAGCAGGTGTGCAGGGTGGAATAGTACAGGAGGGAGCAGGTGTCCAGGGTGCGGTGGTACTAGAGGAGCAGGTGCACAGGGTGGAGTAGTACAGGAGGGATCAGGTGTGCAGGGTAGAATAGTACAGGAGGGATCAGGTGTGCAGGGTAGAATAGTACAGGAGGGAGCAGGTGTGCAGGGTGGAGTAGTACAGGAGGCAGCGGGTATGCAGAGTAGAATAATACAGAAGGGAGCCAAGTGTGCAAGGTAGAGTAGTACTAGAGGAGCAGGTATACAAGGTGGAGAAGTACAGGAGGGAGCAGGTATGCAAGGTGGAGAAGTACAGGAGGGAGCAGGTATG